AGAATGAGGATTAGTGTATTAGGGCGTGAATATACATTTATTAACGATACAATTTAATTAAGCAGGGCTGGGGGTGTAACTCAGTTGTAGAGTACTTACTTGCTTAGCATGTTCAAGGCCCTGAATTTGATCCCCAGCACTGAAAAAAAAATTAAGCAAAGAAATACAATAGAAATACATAAAGTCAACATTAAATTCAGAATGTATTTATACATTAATGGCTTAAAATACAATCCACATGGTATTATTGTTTCCTTTGAAAACTTTTGCTATATAACATTGAGAGTATGCTAAGTTGTATGTATTAGAATTTGATTTCTGATTACATTTTTTTTTTAAAGTATTTTCTTTTTTTTTTTTTTAACTTTTAATATTTATTTTTTAGTTATCGGCGGGCACAACATCTTTGTTTGTATGTGGTGCTGAGGATCGAACCCGGGCCGCACGCATGCCAGGCGAGCGTGCTACCGCTTGAGCCACATCCCCAGCCCTTCTGATTACATTTTTAAAAATCAAATTCAGTTATCAAGATATAAGTAATTCCTTTTAGTTTCCTGAAGGCATTTAGTACATATTTAGTTAGAAATTTGTTGTTGTTGTTATTTTTTAAAGCCATGTCATTGTTTCTCTGTGTACCCTTTTCAGAATGTCCCTACCTCCATCCTTTTTTTTGATACCTTTACCCTTCATACCTTTTATATTCATGTGTATAGCCACATACACTGATTGGAATAGAAGATCCTTAGCAGAAAGAAATGAGACTGGGCATTTTCTGTTCTACACAATCACCTTTTGAAGATATACAGAATGAGATGTCCATGATATATCAGATTCAAGGCCTGTGAATAAGGACTCAGAATTGCCTTTCCTATAGGATCTGGACTTCATATAGATTGCATACTTAGCTGTACAAGTCCCTCTCCCAGGGTCTGTACTTAGGTATAATAAAATCATTTTAAAAAAACTGTCTTAAAGCTTAGGCCATTAACTCCTCCTTTCTTCCCAGTAATGTTGTTACTTCATAGGAGAAATTTGGTTTGGTAGGTTTGTAATCACAGATTCAACTTCCTGAGTTGGCAAGATTTAAGACATTATCTACTTTCAGAAATGTTCCTTAGGCAACTCAAAACAGCAGGTGGAATAGCCAAGTAGATTTGAAAGCTTCCAGGACATGTTCCTGGCTCTCTGGACCAAAATATAAAATCACCCAAGGAAGAGATGTTGGTCTTGAGCCAACACCTCATTCCTCTCCTATTGTTGCTATGATACACAGTTTTGGTTCTGAATGTATTGTAATTTAGAAAGCCGAATTGGGCGTAAGTATGATTCATGGCTTTTTTTTTCCCCCCTAATGCTGGGGATTGAACTCAGGATCCCTGCATGCTGGGCAAGTGCTCTACCTTTCAGTTACACTCCCAGGCCAGTGTGAGTTCTTTTGAAATCTATTTTTTGGGAGTTTGTATGCGTGTGTCAGCCATTGACATGTCTATAATCTGGTGAAGGCTGGATTTGAAAATTTTCCCAGAGTTAAACTACTCTAAAAGGAAAACCTCAACTTGTCTGGAAGCTTGTTAATTTTACACAATATAACTTTAATAAATGCATATAGGCCTGGAGTACTTGCATTAGATGGGGAATATAAGTGACCCAGACTCATGTGTTGTTAATCTGCTCTGCGGAGGCCTGCCTCTATGGGAATTCCTCAGTGTTATGGCCCACAGATGGTTATTCATTTTCCCAAACCAGATGGTGAGGGGATTGGAAAAAAGAGAGACACATACAAAAGTACAAAAAAAGTGGGACCCGGTGGATCAGCCAAACTTCTGATGGAAGAAGACTGACTATAAGCAGACTCAGAACATTTATTATATAGGTTTAAACATCAAAAGGATTTATTGTGAGAAACCTTCTTTAAGATAAACAAAACTAAAGTTGTGGGTAAAACAGCCCCATTAGAGCTTATCAGCTATGCCTGTAACTCTCTACCTCGGGGCAGCATTTGAACCCGAGCCTATGAACTAATGAATTTCGTGGCTGGCATAGAATCTCCCTTGAGCAGGGTGTCACCTTATCTATTGGGCGATCTTTGATTGGCACCCTTGCACTGAGAAATTCCCAAGGAACCATCCTGTTGATCAGAACTAACTATCTGTTCCCCTTTCTTTTGTTTTTAAATATTTATTATTTAGTTGTAGTTGGACACAGTACCTTTATTTAATTTATTTATTTATGTGGTGCTGAGGATCAAACCCAGGGCCTTGCAAGTGCTAGGCGAGCACTATGCCGCTGAGCCACAACTCCAGCCCCTGTTCCCCTTTCTTTTTCTTCCTATTATATGGTTAATTCTTTAAGAATTTTTGGTGGATTTATAGTTCCAGGTTCAACTTCCAGGACTGGCAATCTTACTTTTACCACTTCTCTCCAGGATTCATTTTACATAATGCATTCTGTTCATGGAGATCTAATAAATAATTAATCTATTTTCATGTCCTTTCAGTAGTTATGAAGCATAATAATAAGCTTGATGTGATATAGAAAACAGTATTAAATAATGCTAAGTCTATAATTTAAAGGATAGGAGATTAGAAAATACTTACAGAATGCTGATGATCAGCAAGTGTTAAAACTTGGAGATAAATTACATTTTAGTCAGTTTCATTGTTTTCATGTGAGCTTACTAGAATTCAGGTAAGTCCCTGAAAGAAGTTACCTTTGGCTAATTTCAAGGAAGCAGATCTTAGGGCAGTTAAACAAAACTTTTTTTTTTTTTTTTTTAACATAGTTAAAACAACAAATGAAATTATAGGAGAAGAAGAAAGGTAAACAAAAGTAAAAATGAGAGTAGTGCTTCTCAGCATGCAGTGGGAGGGGACAGTGATGTCAGAGAGTTTGGGATAGTGTGGGGTATTTTCAGAGGCCTTTTGTCTGCAGACTCAACATAAAGGAAAGTCAGTTTCTAAGCTTGCAAGCACAAGTTTTCAGAAAATGCTTCCTTAGCCTTTATTAATAGAAGTGACCTAGGCCTTGGAGTTCCTGTATGAGGCAGTGGGGCTACAGCACTGTGCTTTGTGGGGGTATTATAAGAAGTAATTATGACACATGGCCCTGGCACCTGATCACTGTTGCTCATACATCTACTGATTTTTAGCTGCTGGCATTCCCCTTGTTTCCTGAGAATTTTTCTTCTTTTTTTTCTTGCCACATTAATTTTTTTTTTTTAGTTGTCAATGGATGTTTATTTTATTTAGTTATATGCAGTGCTGAGAATCGAACCCAGTTCTCACACATGCTAGGCAAGTGCTCTACCACTGAGCCACAACCCCAGCCCTTGCCACATTTTTTATTGGTGCACAATGATGAGATTTGTTGTTACATATTCATACATTCACACAATATAATTTGCCAATATCACTCTCCAGTACTTCCCCCTCTTCTCTCTCTGTTCCCTTTCTTTTACTATCTCCCTTTGATTTTCATTAGATTCTGACCTCCCATCTTTCTCTTTTTCCTCTGTAGCTTCCACATAGGAGAGTAAACATAAGACCCTTCATCTTCTGATTTTGACTTATTTTGCTTAACATAATGACAATTTCATTTTTCTTTATGTCTGAATAAAACACCATGTGGCACATATACCACATTTTCTTTATCTTTTCATCTGTTGATAGATTGGTTCCATAGTTTGGCTATTGTGAATTGTGCTGCTATAAACATGGGCAGGCATGTATCACTGTAGCAAGATGACTTTAATTCTTCAGGATAAATACCAAGGAGTGATATAGATGAGTCATATGATGGTTCCATGCCTAGTCTTTTGAGGAATCTCTGAACTGATGCCCTTAGTGATTGTACTAATTTACAGTCCCACCAACAGTATAAAGTGTTCCTTTTTCTCTACATCCTCTTCAGCATTTATTTTTATTTGTATTCTTTTTTTTCTTATTTTTTTTATTGGTTGTTCAAAACATTACAAAGCTCATGACATATCGTCTTTCATACATTTGATTCAAGTGGGTTATGAACTCCCATTTTTGCCCCAAATACAAGTTGCAGAATCATATCGGTTACACATCCACATTTTTACTTAATACCATATTAATGACTGCTGTATTCTGCTACCTTTCCTATCCCCTACTATCCCCCCTCCCCTTCCCTCTCATCTTCCCTCTCTACCCCATCTGCTGTTGTTTAATTCTCTCCCTTGTTTTTTTTTTCCCTTTCCCCTCACAAACTCTTATATGTAATTTTGTGTAACAATGAGGGTCTCCTTCCATTTCTTATTTGTATTATTGATGAATGCCTTTCTGACTAGCTGAGCATCCTTCTTAGAGTTCCTGTTTTTCTTCCTTGTTTCTCTTGTGAGTCACTTATTCCTACTTGGGAATATTACTGAGGGGATTTCACAAGCACAAGGATTTTATTCTATGGAAATATTCTTATTCCAAACTTGACATTTTAAACCTTTTCTTGAGGGACAAGATTATAAGAACTTCTGGGAGACTGAAAGAAGTTTAGTCTGCCTCAGAAGTGAATAAATGGAAGGATCTGTCTGACTGTCAGTGGACTGGGGTATTGCTTTTATTTGTACTTGAACCCTACTATGAAAATGATCAGTTGACTGCACAGTGTGATCTCTGCAGCCCTTCACAGCATGCACTCACTCTGTGTGCTTAATAGTCCGGGTGCCCTGTTTGTCTCAATTTTCTGTTTGGGAAAATTAGAAAAATAGTAAGTAGGTAGGTAGATAGAGTGTATGACTTATATAGTTTATCTTTTCTGTAGCAAAGAGTGAAAAGAAGCTTGCATATTTGTTTTCTGAAAAGAATTTTCTGAGCTTTTAAAAAAATTTGATCATATAATTATCTTAGTATAACTGAGAAATTTAGTAGGAGTGAGTAACCATTTGGAATAAGAAAAATGTAGCTTTTTTAGTACCTGAATATCTAAATTAGTGTCTCGGTAGCTACTTACAATAAATCTCTCTCTTTTTTTTCTTTTAGGGCTGCTGCTCAAAGCAAATTAAGTCACTACACAGATGCAATAAAGGATTGTGAAAAAGCAATAGCAATTGATTCAAAGTACAGTAAGGCCTATGGGAGGATGGGGTAAGTTCTGGGAGAATGTTCAAAGTTGTACCAAGTAGTACACTGTTCAGAGACACTGTTCTTAATGGTTTGATTATGAATTTCCTGTTTAGTATTACCCTCTCTGAATTAATAAGAAGATAAATATAAGGGAGGAATTGACTACAAATTTTGTGACTTGAGAGTAAGGTGACTAGTTATCTTATGACTGATTGGTTATTGAAGAAGATGGTATAACCACACAAGCAGAGTCATTTCTTGTCCATAACCACAAATCTAGATGAGTACCCAACACTGGTAGACAGTCCTATTTTTCTTACATCAAAATTCACCTTTTCATTCTCTCATGCAACTATTTTGCACCCACCCTTCACATTTCCACTGCTCCCCTTCCATGGTGACTCTCAGTTGATACTGCTTTACACTTAATTAAGAAAATAGACCTATTTTGAAGAGTAACAACTCATCTTCCTATTTCTGAGTCCACCAATCTACTTGCATTTGCATCTACAAAGATTGCCTTTTTTCTATAGATTGCCTTTTAAAATGAAAGGGTTCTTAAGAACATCACTTCCCTCCATATTTTAAGATCTCATTCTTTTGTACTTTTGACGTCATACTTGTAATTATCCCCTTTATCTTCTACAACACTAGTTTTCCATCTCTAATCGCTGGCATGTGCAAACATCATAGACTGGAATCATCCCGTGTTCCTCTCCAGCTGTTGTCTCACATCCCAGTTCTTTTCTCTGTAAAGCCCCTGATGATTATCTGTACCTCCTGTCTCATCTCTTGTTCCTTATTCATCTCATCCAGCAGGCCTTTTGTCTATGTGATAGCTTATTTTGTCAACTTGACTGGGTAGAGGATCCCCTTGGTAAAACATTTCTGGGTATATCTATGTGAATATTTCTGGAAGGAATTAGCATTTGAATCTGTAGATTGAATAAAGATCATCCTCCCCATTGTGGGAGGGCAGCATGCAATCCTTTAATGGACTAAATACAACCAAAAGGCAGAGGAAGGGTCCATTCACTCTCTCCTCCAGCTGGGCATCCATCTTCTCCTGCCCTTGGACCTCAGTATTCCTGGATCTCAAACCATCGGCTCTTCTGGTTCTCAAATCTTCTGGTTTGGACTCTACTACACCACTAATTTTCCTGTACCTCTGGTTTATAGATGGCAAATAGTGGCACTTCCTACCTTCCATAATGAGCTAATGCTTCCTAATAAATCTTTCCATATATCTCTCTTTATACTATTGGTTTCTGTATTAGTCTGGATAACCCTAATACAGTCACTCTGTTGGTGAGATCACCAGTTTTTGGTATTTTATTGGAGCTAGTATTCAGTTCTGTATCTTCACCCTACCACATTTATATTATTTGGTGCAATTATCATAAGTTTGACAGATTTCATCCTCTATGATTTATCACACTTGCCTTGTTTTCCTTCTACTTCACTGTGTGCTCTTTTCTAGTCTTCGTCTTCTTCCTTTTTCACCTCTGAAAATGATGTTTTTTTCAGGGCTTTATCCTCTTCTACTGCTGTTTCTCTTCTGATTGCATCCTACCTGAGACTTTTTTTGGGGGTACTTGGGATTGAACTCAGGGGCACTCAACCACTGAGCCACATCCCCAGCCCTAGTTTGTATTTTATTTAGAGACAGGGTCTCACTGAGCTGCTTAGCACCTCGTAGTTGCTAAGCCTGGCTTTAAACTTGCATTCCTCCTGTCTCAGCCTCCCGAGCTGCTGGGATTATAGGTGTGCACCACCATACCTGGCCTGCCTTGCCTCAGACTTTTAAAGTCCATTTGTAGTTGTTACTCATTATTTGTAGGTTCTGTATGTATGATTTGCCTTTTTGATAAAATTTATGTGTAATCCACAATTCAATATTGATTTATGGTCATTGATTCTGTGGTCACTTATGAACATTCACAAGTAGTGAAAATTTCGAGTTTTCTGATGTGTGTTACTGTCTGAGGTAGATAACATGATAGTCTTCTTTTTTATTTTAGCTCACGCTGAAACAGTCTATTTGGTGGTACATTGTTTTTGTATTTTTAAATCTTTTGTGATTTTGCTGCTTATGGTAGTCCAAAGTGTAGGCCGAAGTGTTCCTAAGTGCAAAAAGATTGTAATGTGTCTTATGGAGAAAATACATGTGTGAGATAAGTTTTTGTTTAGGCATGAGTTAGACTTGTGGCAGTGATTTCAGTGCTAATTAATAAAAAATGTATATTAAATAAGGTTTATTTAAACAGAAACACATATACAACAAAGTTATGTATTGATCAGGTGATGAAAATGTTCACAGAGTTTCACAGGAACCTAACCCTATACTTTCACTAGGAACAATTTAGTATTTGCTAAGTCATGGAGGCTTTATAGAACATAACTCTGTGAATGAGAATCAACTATATATGTTGTTGGGTCTCTTAAATTATATGTCTGAACTTCAAACTCATATATTCAACCACTTCTCATTATGTTCAGATATTTAATAGGCATTTTGTTTTAAACAGAGCTCTTGTTCCATTCTTAAATCTTCCCATCTCAGTAAATTATACCATCATTCATCTACCTAGTGTTCAGGTTAAAAGCTGAGGAGTCAGTCTTTATTCATATTACACCTGGCACATCTAATATATTAGCAAGTCCTGTCTAGTCTAGTTTCTGAGTGTATCTTAGACACAGATATTGAGCACTCTCTTGCTTACAGGCCTAGTCCAAACTGCATTCTCTTACCTAGACTTCTGCAGTCACTTCCTAACTCGTCTCCCTGCCTCCATTCTGCCTCTCACCCTGGCTGATCCTCTAGAGAAGGCAGAGTGAGCTTTCTAGAATACATAATTTAGATCATGTCACTCCACTACAACTAGAATAGAGTCTGAGCTCCGATGATCCTATATAGCACCTGACTGCTCTGACAGCATCTATTTCTTTTTTTTAAATTTATTTTTATTTATATATAACAGCAGAATGCATTACAATTCTTATTACATATATAGAGCTCAATTTTTCATCTCTGGTTGTATACACAGTATATTCACACCAATTTGTGTTTTCATACATGTACTTTGGATAATAATGATCATCACATTCAATCATCATTAATTATCCCATGCCCCCTCCATTCCCCTTCCACTCCTCTGCCCTGTCTAGAGTTCTTCTGTTCCTCCCATGCTCCCTCTCCCTATCTCACTATGAATCAGCCTCCTTATATCAGAGAAAACATTTGGCATTTGTTTTTTTGGGATTGGCTAACTTTATCTTCTCTAACTCCATCCATTTATCTGCAAATGCCATGATTTTTATTCTCTTTTATTGCTGAGTAATATTCCATTGTGTATATATGCCACATTTTAAAAATCCATTCATCTGTTGAAGGGCATTTAGGTTGGTTCCACAATTTAGCTATTGTGAATTGTGCTGCTATAAACATTGATGTGGCTGTGTTCTTGTAGTGTGCTGTTTTTAAGTCCCTTGGGATAGACCGAGGAGAGGGATAGCTGGGTCAAATGGTGGTTCCATTTCCAACTTTCCAAGAAATCTCCATACTGCTTTCCATATTGGCTGCACCAATTTGCAGTCCCACCAGCAGTGTATGAGTGTACCTTTTCCCCACATCCTCATCAACAATTATTGTTGTTTGTCTTCATAGCTGCCATTCTGACTGTAGTGAGATGAAATCTTAGAATAGTTTTGATTTGCATTTCTCTAATTGCTAGTGATGATGAACATTTTTTCATGTGTTTGTTGATTGATTGTACATCTTTTGAGAAGTGTCTCTTCAGGTCCTTGGCCCATTTATTGATAGGGTTATTTGTTTTTTTGGTGTCTAATTTTTTGAGTTCTTTATATACCCTAGAGATTAGTGCTCTATTTGATGTGAGAAGTAAAAATTTGCTCCCAATATGTAAGTTCTTTGTTCACATCACAGATTGTTTCTTTTGCTGAGAAGAAACTTTTTAGCTTGAGTCCATCTCATTTATTGATTCTTGATTTTAATTCTTGTGCCACAGGAGTCTTATTAAGGAAGTTGGGGCCTAATCCCATATGATGAAGATTAGGGCCTACTTTTTCTTCTATTAGACGTAGGGTCTCTGGTTATATACCTAAGTCCTTGATCCATTTTGAGTTGAGTTTTGTGCATGGTGAGAGATAGGAATTTAATTTCATTTTGTTGCATATAGGTTTCCAGTTTCCCAGCACCATTTGTTGAAGAGGGCTATGTTTTCTCCAATGCATGTTCTTGGCACCTTTGTCTAATATAAGATAATTGTTGTTTTATGTGTCAGTCTCTGTGTCCTCTAGTCTGTACCATTAGTATTTGCTAATTCATGGAGGCTTTATAGAACATAACTACCTAGTGTTCAGGTTAAAAGCTGAGGAGGCAGGAGGATCTTATGTTTTGGTGCCAATACCATGATGGTTTTGTTACTGTTGCTCTGTAGTATAGTTTAAGGTCTGGTATAGTGATGCCACCTGCTAAGGATTGTTTTGAACTATTCTGGGTCTCTGATTTTTCCAGATGAGTTTCATGATTGCTTTTTCTATTTCTATGAGGAATGTCATTGGAATTTTTATCAGAATTGCATTAAATCCGTACAGTGCTTTTGGAAGTATGGTCATTTTGATAATATTAATTCTGCCTATCCAAGAGCAAGGTAGATCTTTCCATCTTCTAAGGTTTTCTTTGATTTCTTTCTTTTAGTGTTCTGTAATTTTCATTATATAGATCCTTCACCTCTTTCATTAAGTTGATTCCCAAGTATTTTATTTTTTGACATCATCTCTTTCTACATTATTTTCTGTGCTTCTTCCTCTTCAGTCTTTGTCCTATACTTTAAGCATACCAAGCTTTCATCTTTTTTAGGGAATTTGTGTTTACTGCTATTTCTATTTAGAATATTCCTCCCCTGATTTCCTGGTAATCGCTTTCTTCATGTCATATAGGTCATCTCAGTGTGGCATTTTTGAGCAGCTCTTTCTTTATTCTCTTTAGTATCTATTCTTTTTGATTGCATATTTCATGCCTGTCCTCCCCAAGTAGAATGAGCTTTTCTTAACGTGAGAAAATTTATCTTTTTCATTGTGGAATCCTGAGTATTCACAATAGTCCTGGTATATAATAAGACTTTAATAAATATTTATTGACTGTTTATTAAGGTTGGGTACTCTTATTAAGTATCTTTCAGGGTTGATGGGTGGAAAATTAATTTGGTTGTGAGAATTTCTCTGTGGTTGATACTGTAGTTTCTTTTAATCAAAAGTCTGTGAGGTAAGTCAGAATAAGAAAAAAAATTGGATTAATATGTTAAAAACAATCTCAGCACAAACAAAAACCCCCAATACTATCTTTCTATATATAGCATTATTGTTTCATTCTGAAGTAATTTTCCAATAAATAAATTATAACTAGGTGGAGACAAACATTAACATTTAATAACTAATTTTTATTTGTGCCTGGGTAATAATTTGTTATTTGAGTTGTAAAGAATGCTAATTTTCTCTATTTAACAAAAATGTCTTGTTCAGGATAGTCATCTGATACCCCGCAGCCTACTTTTTAAATAGAAAACTCATATTTATGGTTGCTGAAAGACACTATTAGGAAGAAAGAATGTGGGATGTTTTGAAGCATAGATATATTTTAGAGTTTTTAAAAATAGAACTAGCATCATGGATTTACATGACCACAGGGTTGTCAGCACAAATCTTTGCAGAGTTCACTCCAGGCATTCATAAAGCAAATTACCTCAATATTAGGCTTAAAAAAGGGAAAGGCAGATAAAGGTCATCTCTAAAGCATTTGTTCACAATCCATATAGTATAACCAAACTTTTCAGCAAGCAGAATAGAGAGAAATACGATTTATAGAATCTTGGAATTAGAGGGAATTTTAGTGATACTCTTGTGAACCACAGTACAATATTAATAAGTTAAGTATAATATGAATTTGAATTATTAAGATTTGACTTTGTGATTTCCTGATGTTCTTTAGCATAACTCTTATACTCTATATTTACCCTGTATTTTTTTCAGGCTGGCCCTCACTGCTATGAATAAATTTGAAGAAGCAGTTACAAGTTATCAAAAGGCATTAGATCTTGACCCTGAAAATGATTCCTATAAGTCAAATCTGAAAATAGCAGAACAAAAGTTAAGAGAGGTATCTAGTCCTGTAAGTTGTTAATGCAGAATGAGTGAAATATTTTCTGTCATTCATAATTTATTGAAATTAATTTTTAGTGGTTGGAATGATTCTTAGATATAACTCTTCCACAGACAGGAACTGGATTGAGCTTCGACATGGCTAGTTTGATAAATAATCCAGCTTTCATTAGTATGGTGAGTATATCTCCTTTTACTGACTGTTTTACCTAGAGCTATATTTCCAAACTTTCATTTTTTCCATAGTCTTTTAAGAGATGGGGGTCTTGCCATGTTGCCCAAGCTGTCCCTGACTCTTTAGTTCAAGTGATCCTCCTGCCTTTGAGTAGCTGGAATTTCTGGCTCAGGACTTTTTAGAAGGGAGCTTCTGTGATGGTGGTAGTGAAATACCGGGGGCAGAGGCTAAGACAGGGATGCTTCACCGGTCTACCTGCCTCTGAAAGAAGACAGGCATGGATGTCACAAAGCCCCTAAATTCCCCACAGTGGAATGAATATAAAACTCTGTGAACATGTGTGCTTTTCTAGGAGAAAACCATGTTTTTCATCAGATTGGCATAGGAATCTGCAATTACACTGAAGGTTAAATTTCTTACGTGAAACTGGTCCTAGGAAGATATATCTAAGAATTTAAGTCTGAGAATTGAGGCTATAGTGGTTCTTTAAGCTTGTCGCTCAGCATTCAGCTTAAGCAATTATTTGGGGTTGCTTGAGCTATATAGTTCAGTGGTAAAGTGTTTGCCTAGCCTGTGTAAAACTCTTGTTAACCAGCACCACAAGGAAAAAAAAAGTGTATCTGAACTTTTCATGTCAGACTCTCATATATAAATTCTATTATACAAACCAACAAAATAATTTAGGAATCTTTTGGAAAACATACATGCTTTGATCCATTGTGTGGTAAATTTGATTTAGTGGGTATAGGCTGTTACCTGGGCATACAAAGCTCCCTAGAGAACTGTATACTTTGGATGAGGAAACATTCTGTCATACCTGTGCCCCTGGAAGGCAGGAAATCAGTTCTTATTTATCTTTGGTTTCTTCAAATAAATGTCATGGATCCATCCAAAGCAGTTGAAATGCAGATGACTCACTTCCAGTGAGATTAGGAAGTCTTTTGAGCGTTGGTAGTACCTCCACCCTACCATCAAATTTATTACCAACTTGCTGGCAAAGAAGTCTTTAATGTTTGTGACATTTTTTAAATCCACTACCCACTTTCAGGATTCAGGTTATGCTATTGTCTTTATGTAAGACATAAAAATGAAATTCTTTTTAGATTTGACTTAGGCTCCAAAGTGCTATGTGCCAAAATAGGGCATGACACCACCATGCAGGAGTTAAATAAGGCAATGATTAAAAACGTATTTTTGACTCTTAAAAATTGAGTCAGGGCTACTGAAAGAGGTAGTGCACACCTGTAATTCCAGCTTCTTGGGAGGCTGAGGCAGGAGGATCTTATGTTCAAGGCTTGCTCAGGCAACTTAGCAAGACCCTGTCTCAAAAAAACAAACAAACAAACAAAAAAAAAAAAACACTGGGAATATATAGGTCAGTGGTAAAATGACCCTGGGTTTAATCCCCAGTACTTGGGTCAGGGCTGATGATATAACACATGCTTAGCATGTGTGATGCCAAGGAATTGAGTAGCTGGAATTTCCGGCTCAGGACTTTTTAGAAGGGAGCTTCTAAAAGCTCCCTTCTAAATTCCCTGCTAAAAGTCAGCTTGATAGATAAGAAATGGGGTTTTGGAGAGTTATTAAGAGTTTCAGAGCCCTGCTTCATGCATGAAGTGGGAATCCTGCTTTCATCTCAGTCCTACTGAGAAAGGGCTTTTCTGGTCCATTCTGAAAGCCACACAGAGCAGTCACATCCAAAGGGTCTTTTGGGATGGACCCTTTCAAGTGTAGGAGATTTTTTTTTTTATACCTTTTTTAAAAAATATATTTTTAGTTGTAGATGGACACAATACCTTTATTTATTTTTATGTGGTGCTGAGGATGGAACCCAGTGCCTCACATGTGCAAGGTGCGCGCTCTACCACTGAGCCACAAACCCAGCCCCAGATTCTTTATACTTTTAAAGTTTCTATTTTTCCTTTTGGGTTAATTGATCTGATCAGCAATAGTAAGTGAACTGCTATCAATAGCCTTAGTTTATAGTGCTATTTATAGTACTGAATCTCATTAGCCTTGTAATATTTTTAATGTCAGTTTTCCCAATATCTCCTATTTTTACCTTCCCATTTACTTTGTGTAGCACTGAGTCTCTACAGGATGCTAGTACTTACATGGTTTAGCTTTCATACCTTTAAAAAAATCTTTGTTAAAGATCCCTATTAACTACCTTTAATGGGAGGTACTATTTTTCAATTCCAGGCAGCAAGTTTAATGCAGAACCCTCAAGTTCAACAGCTGTAAGTACACAGAAGGAGCTTGTTACATTTTCCTCTTCTACTTGCCAATCTTTTAAGTTGAGCACAGTAGCTAAAATATGATAATACTTCCCTGAATGCCAGTCATTTAGAATTTGAAACTACAATTTGATCTAACCTCTTACATAATGTAGCCTTAGCTTTTTTTTTTTTTTTTTTGGTCCAGTTACCCTATTTGTTAAGAATATATCCTAATCTCAGTGATACATCTTTTGCATACCATAGAATGTCAGGAATGATGACAAATGCCATTGGAGGACCTGCTGCTGGAGTTGGAGGCCTAACTGACCTGTCTAGCCTCATCCAAGCGTAAGTCTCACTTAAAACAGAAGTAATGAACATTTATTTTCTAAGGTGAGGGGCAAGGGCTTGCTGCTGTTGCTGCTTTTTAAATCTTTTACTGTTAATATCATTGGTCTCCTTAAAGTTATTAAAACTGAAAACAGTTCATAAGTAGGAGTTACTTTTCAGATTGAAAGGCAGGAATCCAAAAAACATGATGAGTCATCTATCTAGCTCTGTCTTTTAAGAAGAGCAATCACAGGTGTTCAGTATACATTTTTCCCTTCCCAATGGATCTTAAAGTATCAGAAAAATCTTGAAGGACAGAAATTAGAAGTAGGCAGTTTACATCTCTATTCAATAGGTAGAAAAACTGAGGTACAAGTTAGTGATTTACTCAGGAGTTCAGAGCATCAATGGCAGGGTTTGGTGTATATTTATTCTTTTGATTTGCAGCCTAATTTTTTGTTACTTACTTTGTTGTCAGTATGAAATTAGGATCCTCAGTTTCTTACTTGGGGTTATTAGTACTATCATCTTCATATATAGAGGGGCCTAAGGATTGGTGACCTGCTACTTGTAAGGGCATAGAAACAGTAAGAATCTTAAATCCAAATATATTATAATCTCATATGTAAAGTAGTTAATCTTCCATTTTTACCAATGAAGACCCAAGAAAAAGTTTTTTTGACAGACTTGAGTAACTACTCAGGGATATAAAAGTCAAATATCCACCTAAAATATATTTTTATATTGTGTTTAGTTCAGTGGTAGAATATTTGGTGAGCATTTCCAAGGCCCTGGGTTTGATCCCCAACACTGCAAAAATAAGTGAAAATAAATAAATGAAATCATGTTACATGTATTAATGTTCACACCTTTACTCAAATTTTTCAGTATCTGTTATCACTAGAGAAATTTGTTATATCTTCTCATTTGAGCCCATTTCTTTTACTTGTATCCAGATTGCTTAAGATAGTTTGCTTTTTGAATATGTGTCTGATGTAGTCAACTGGAAGTTTTATATGATGCCACAAGTACCGTTTGCTGTTTTTGATCATGATTATAATCTCTTAGAATACTGTATTTTTAGAGTGATCTTTAACATGATTATTATGATTCTGACACATATAACTGAGGTCACAAATTTAGGAAACTTCTTTGCCTTTTTAAAAATCTGTTGTTAGGTAACGTCTGTAAGTATCTCAAACTGTCACACCTTGTCCTATAAGAAAGTAATAAGACTTTAAAAGAGTAGAGTATATTACCATAAATGCATTTCCTGAGCCCTTTGCTTATTGTGGATTCACCCAATCCAGGCACTCATTTTTTAGCTTGGGTATTTTGTTTTCTTCATTTGATCTTAGAAGGTTGAGAGTCAGTGTGTACACTATTAATAATGCTATATGTATAATGCTATTGGGAAAGTCATGATTCTAAAACTTGTTTTATAGGAAAAGTTTCTTTTAGGTAGTCTCACATCTTCTGAACTTATTTTTGCATGGATATTATATGACTGGAAATTCCCTAATTTATTTTGCTTCTTTACTACAGGGGACAGCAGTTTGCTCAGCAAATACAACAACAGAATCCTGAACTTATAGAGCAACTGAGAAATCACATCCGGAGCAGATCCTTCAGCAGCAGCACTGAAGAACATTCCTGATTTGATCAGAATATGGCCCAGAATATAAATGTTTTATGGCTCCAAAGTATTCACTGTAGATAGTAGCCAAAAACAAAAAACAAAAACAAAAGCACCATATCTGATGTGTGAGAATAATGAAGGAAAACCTCTTGTGTATATTCTTAAAGAATAATTCTGTTTAGATAATAGGTTTATCACAAACAGAGGTGAACATAACAGACTCCTTTGGAAGCAAATGATTAGTAGCCTTGTTAAGTGTCAGTATGGCACTGGAACAAGGTTCCATCCATTTTGAAACTTTTATCATATTTGTATATTAGACTTACTAGCAGAGTATATTTATTGAACAGTAGGACTGTTTATTGGTGAGTTCTTTAGCTCTTAATTCCCTTCAGGAAGGTTTTTTTTTTAGCAGGAAGATAGGACTAAGTGGAAAAGTATCCTATGCAGGTTGAGAAGAAATATATTTGTCACTTGACAAGCGTGTCAGGAAAAGAAACTTGTTACATAGGTTTAGCTTTGATAAGCGCTGTCAATATATGTCATAGGTGTCAGTACTGTTTTTGATGCTGCTGTCTTGATGAGTGACAGGGAGTCTTTAAGAGCTTGTGGAAAGCAGTTATTTGGTACAAGGGATGCTATGAAGAGAAAAAATAATGTGAATTTATATGTAAAGTAAAGGTAGGATGCTCAGGTTTTTTGCATAGTTCTTAAATAATCTTGTCTGCAGTTTAATATCAATAACATTAGCATGGCCAGTTATGATAAGTATATAATAAAATAACACTTAGAAATCCTTATTTATACTGATTAGGTTAGTGATATGTAATTGTTCAACTTAATTACCACAATTTCCCTGGTGGTAAACTTAGGTTTGAAAATTATCAAATATACCTATATTTAAATAAGCCAATGGCTTGACCCTAAGTTAAGGATTTTCTAAGTGAAATTTAATTATATACTCATAAACATTGATTTTTTTTTAAAAAAGTAATAATTATTTGATGGATTAAAAAATGCATCTATTAGTAACATTGCTTGTTCATGCAATCCTCTGCTATAATTTGGCTTGGCATGCCAATCTTATGCTTAACCTTAATTTGAGGCAATTTAAATATAACAGGAGACATAAAATTTTTTATTATAAATTAGATGCCATATTGGTTGGTAGGGGAAATGCCATTAGGTACTAATGGCATGGTTTTAAATACAGGGGAAAACAAGACAAGTCTAATTCCAACTGGGATTTTGTTGTTAATCTTGAAATTGGTGAAGTGGGCTAACCTGTAATGATTTTATAAGTGTTATGAGGGAAAACTGAAAAAGAAGGTAATTTAAAAAATTTGTAAAATTGATGCAATAAGGACCTTACTATAACAGTTCCAAAAAGACTATTTGATACACTGAAGTTTCTCCTTTTTTTCCCCCCTTTGTGAGATAAGAACCATGAACCATGGTTTTGTAATTTCAGTGTGATCATCTCCTGGGGGAATTCATTATATATGCAGAATGAGGGCCACACTATCAATTTTTACTTAGTAAATACTGTATTAAGACGTAGGAATCAGCATTTTAAGTAGTGTACCGGTTTAGAGGTAGGTCCAAGGACTCAAATTTACAGCAATATTAGATTTCTCCCCAACTAGACCAACAAATACTTATCCACTTGGACTTGGGCCAAAATGAAAGAACTGTGTGAACCTATAGTTAAGGCCAGAGAATAACAGGCCCTCTGAAATTAAATTTCCTATATTGCATCTAATCCATCTTAATTTTTTACGAAGTTACACACAGCTCCTAGTGTTTAAGTGTTATAAAAGAATGAAGTACTAATCAAACAGGAGTTACAGTTGTGATTAAAAAGAACAAAGCTGATCCTTAAAACTAGTCATTTTTATTCAGTGTTTAATAAGTTAATGTTTTTAGCATTCCTATTTTGAGTGCATTAAATATTCTTTTAGATCAATAAAATTTGATAAGCCTGTAGCTGACTATGAAAATAGAATATACAAATTAATAGTCTATTATCAGAAATTAAAGAGGAGGGCTGGGGATGTAGCTTAGTGGCAGAGAGATTATGGGAAATGGTGGGTTTATACATCTCTAGCACAAAGAGCAAAAAAAAAAAAAAAAAAGCAGATATACCCGAGACCCTGTAGACATAAAAGGGTAATTATAAACACTATGACTAACTCTAGATCTATATATTTTACAACTTAGATGAAACAGACATTCTTTCTAAGGTAAAAACTACCCAAGCTCACTGGAGAAACAGCCTGAATAGACCTATATTTTACAAAGTTGAGTTTATAGATAAAAACCTTCCAAGAAAGAAAACTATGGGCCAGATGACTTTAATGGTGAACTCTACTGAGCACATAGGGGAGAAATTAACATCAAATCTACTCATTGTGTTCTAGAAAACAGAAGAGGAAGAAACACTTTCCAACTCTTTTTTTTTATTTTGGCCAGTGGTACCTGGATAACAGAATCAAAGAGAATAGTAAGAAAACACTTTAAAACACTGCCTTCATGTGCTAGCATCTGTAGTTAAAGGGAGCCATTCTTTTAACATGAAATTATGGGAACTGGTGTGTTCCATTTCATGCTGTTTCTTTGAGAATATATCACCCAAAAGAAAATATTGTCAATCTAGATGACACCTGTCCACTTATGTGGATTCCATTCAAGGCAAGCCAGCTTTACTCTTCAGGTCCCTTCATCACTTTGGAATCATTGCATTAGAAGCCATTTCAAGAAAGTTTTGTGTGATTTGATTGTACTAGATATTTTTAAAATTATAGAGAATATTATTATTCCTTGTCTGGAAAATATAGTCACTTCTCAGAGAAAAAAAGAGGGCATTAAAATAAATCTTTATATACAGACATTCTAATAAGGAATGCTTGACTTTCATTACACACATTTCATTGTAGTAGCTGTAACCATGCTATAGAAAACAGAACATGTCCTTTTTATGCAAGTGACATTTTCATTTAATGTACCAAATTGTTAATTTGATTTTTATAAGTTGAACACAGATCCTTTCTAAAATGGCATTATCTAATCTTTACTTAAATAATGTTACTTATAAATAGAAGAGACTGTACTTAAGTCAATGTATACAGCAGATTTAAATTGACTATTATGTTAAAGTTTGAAAGAATGAAACAGGTTCCAGTCATGAGAAGATGCTTGAAAAACAAAGTACCCAGTGCAGTGGCTATAGTCTTATTTCATCATTTGATTAATCTTAAGTCATTTTGGAAGAATGAATACTTCAGTTTTACACTGCTTGCACTTTATTTTGCGTAGATATCTCATTAACTCTTATTTGAGGGGCAACTCTTCTGAATATAGCTTTCATTTTGAGCAAAATTTGTCATGGCAATAAATAAATTATGCATTCAAGAAAAACCAATTTTTGTATTTGACTTAATGTACTCTTACATTTAAGAAACTACACATTCTTGAATTTCAGCTTACGAAATAGGATGATTTTATTTAGGAGTATAACCTTTTTTTCCCCTGGCAAAACAGTGAAACATTTTGTTAAATTTATGTTGCAAAGTGTTTAGAGCCTTATTTCTCTCACTGTTTTTGTTCATGGCATAAATGTGATTACATGCAGAGATAGTTTTATAATATTAATACATGATTTAGAGTTTAAAATCAAATATTAGAAGGTAGGACTCCTTTAAATATGTGTAATGGAAACAGTTCATTTTTCAATGGGAAAAATCTAGGAGTTTGTAGCTTAGAATTAGGTCATTATTAGGCATTTTAGTGAAAAGTTAAATCAACAACCAACTAAGAAATAAATGAATTTTGATCTGCTGTTCAGTATCTGAAAGTTAGATTTATTTTTATGTATACACAAACACAACACATACCAATACAATGATTTTGAGAATAACTAGAAAAGTTCATACTGTGTTAGCAAATTATCAGGTTACAGGGGACTACCCCATTTGTTTTAAACAATCCTTTCTGTATTGTGAGAATTCTAAAATTCAGATAAACAACTTTATCTTCCAGATTGAGATCAGCAAACGGTCACCCACAGGTCAGATCCAGTAAGCTGCCTATTTTCGTAAATACCACTGTGCTTTTTTTTTTTGCCTACAGCTGCTCTTGCACTATATTTGGTATTTTGCCCTTTATAAAAAAAGTTTGCTGACTACTGTTCTAGGTACTTGCTAAGGACAAATGGCCTCAAATATAGAACTTTTGTAGAACAAAGTCCAAAGGTCACCTAAAATGAAGCAAAGTACAGAAAATATAAAAATGTCCACTTAAGAATATAACTCACAAGATAAAATTGATTCTTCTCAAAACAAATATTTAATATTTTAACTTACAGGAAAGAAAAACAATATATACTTATTTTTGATTTGAACATTTCACAAAGGTGAAAAAAATACAGAAAGCAGTTCTGTGAAAACAAATGAAAAAAGCATAACACTGGGAATTTCCTTTAGCTTTCCACTTTAACGGCTGAAGATACTACACAGACTTGTGCGATGTCATCATATTCATATGTTCTCTTTAAGAATGTGTCTGTTATTCTTAAGCCGGAAACACTCTATTGAGAGAAAGATGAAGGCCTCAGTTTTTAATCACTGATAATTATTAGAGAAAATATGGCTATAATAAATGACTATAAATTAGCCCCCATACACTTGAAATCATTGAAAAGAGAACATACTTGTAGTCCCTGTACCGAAGACAGCAGAGTAAGGGCAAGGCAGAGAGAAGAACTTGGATGCAGCTTTCCAAGCTGTCTTCCTGAAATACCACACCAGTGAATAGAACTGGTATTACACATTTCCAAAACCAGATCCATCGTCCTTTCACTGCTGGGGGAATCAGAAAAACAGGAATAAATCTTGTTCATTTCACATGGAGATATTAGTATTTCTCCTTTATTTATTTATTTTTCCTTTTTAGTAAATTTGCTTTCTGGGTATGCTGGAGAACAAAACAAAGAGAAATGAAAAGCTATTTATCATTTTTATATTAAGAGAGTCAGGAAAATGAAAGGAGATGGCATATTTTGAGGCTTAAAATGGCTTTAACCTAATCTGCCTGCTGGAAATCAGTTTTCTGATTCTATTGTTGAACACTGGTTCCCTAGTGCTAATTTGTTAATGACTGCCATTTCTCTGGGAAACTTCTGTGCCTCCTGTTGTTTCATTGTACT